GAGTCTCATACGGAAGAGACGACATGACGGTTCCAGGTTTGGCGTTTGGCCCAGAGAAGGAAAACACTCACCTAGATTCCTCAGGGGGTCGATGGCCTTTGGTTCGGACGTCCCGGCCCGGTTCTTCTTGTGTTTGGCGCCCAGCATGATGCTCAGAAGCTCCGGCCGCTCCGTCTATGTGAGCCGCAGGGTGGCGGACGGTGAGTCGGCGCTCCTCTGGCTGCTCATCAGCATTTTAACCTGCTCAGGGGTCTAAGAGCCCCACTTCTTCAGAATGATGTCACTGGCATCCATCTGACGTCAGAGCCGACTAAGTCCTCCTCAGCAGATTTTCAAAATAAAACGGGGGGAACCATAATACGCTATTGAACGTTGCCCACTTTTCTTTTCCTGAGCATAAAGTTATTTCCAGGGGTGAAAGTCATCAGGTACGGTCTGGGACATTAATTTCCAATATTTTGTATCTGCTGCTGTTTGTCCCTCCTATCTAATAGTTGTAAATAACAGACTCCAAACTAAGCCCTTGATTTATCATTTACCATTTGCTCAAAGATGTTGCCTTCTGTTTACATGAAAACAGAAGGTTAGGAAAAGAATGATTAATTTTTGGAGCAAATTTCTTACTTTAGTATTTGTTATATCTATTAACATGCCTCTCATAAATATGTTATTATGATTAAATATAATAATTAAGCCTGATTGGTATTGGTTCCCCACCACCCACATTCTCCTCAGCCACTTGGTGTGTAAGTGGATCCTATTGTCATTACAATAAAGCAAATGCTGTATGTACAAAATACATACAGAAACATACTGATACAAAGTTAGGCATAAATGGAATTACTGGAATAAATGGGAGTCATATCGTTAGGGATTTTCGTGGATGTATATTATGGTACAGACTAGTAACAAAACAACTAGATGTATGGCTGAATCCTCATTGATCATTAATTAAAAAATTCAAGACATTCTCTTGAGAATGGGTCTTTCCTTCAGAAAATTATTTTGTTTCCAGTTGTTTTCAGTTTGGTTTATGGATCAAGAACTGAAATGAATTTCTATTTTCTACCTTTGGATATTGCCTTAAAGGGGCAGTATTGGGTATTTTCCAGCCACATAGCGCTGTTTTATAGCAGTTAAGCAACAATGTTATCTTCAATTGTTACAAATATTAACTAGAAAATTCCTGAAGAAATTTAACCAGGGCTTGCCAAAGTGTGCCTGTCGGTTTGGACCCAGTGTTCTGATGCTAAAAATTAGCATTAATGCTAAAGAAAGCTGCAATGTAGTCAATATCCTGTGGAGAGTCAGAAGCATGTTGACTAAGCTGTACTTGTATCGTTCAGTTTGTTAAAATTAATGCATAAGCTAAAATTAGCAAAAATGCTAATAATAGCATTAATGCTATCAGTAGCATGTGGGGTATCACTAATATGTTGTCTGTCATTGACTTACACCATTCAGTATACTAAACATGGCTAATAAGTAAGAAAAGCGTTCTGATGATAAACATTAGCATCAATGCTAAGCTGAGCTAAATTGTAGTGAATAACCTGTGGAGAGTCAGAAGCATGTTGACTAAGCTGTACTTGCACCATTCATTTTGTTAAAATGAATGCATAAGGTTAAATTAGCCAAAATGCTAATGTTAGCGTGATTGCTAACAGTAGCATATGGGGCATCACTAGCATGTCGTCTGTCATTGACTTACTCTATCCAGTATATTAAACATGGCTAATAAGTCAGAAAATTAGCTAAAAGCTTATTTTAGGTGAAATGCTAACGGTGAAATGCTCACTACAGCTGGAGCTGGACTGGAGTTCTGTTTGGCTTTAGTGGCTTCGTGGACGGAGACATCGGCTGAGCTAAAGCAGCTAACAACGCAACATTTTCCCTCTCCCATTATAAACTTTGCTTTTCTTCAATATGGAAAATACTCCTACATCAGTAGCTCTGTTTGTTATTTTGACATCAATGCTTACCTGGTGGCCAGTTGATCCTCTTAACCACTGAATGTATCAGAACCACCTGGACTGAGCTGGTTTCGTCAGAGGGAGCTAAGACTTCGATAAAATGACTTCCCATATTTTAAGATGTTCTTCTGGTAAAATTGCATCTTTATGATGCTAATATGACTGGATTCTCATAATTAAAAATACTTGTAAACAGGTCTTAGCACTCCTTTATACAACTCACAAAAGGAATGATAGAAATAAAGCCACTTTGTGAAAATATTTTCTGTATTTTGTTTTAGAAAAGATATTGAGGGTGACTAAAATTAAATCTGTTATGAAAAAACTGTTCAGTCATATCATCCAGCCTTATTCACTATATTATTGAATTATTTTACTAACTGCATATTACTTAATATTCAGATTTCTTTGCTTGTATTACTTGAAAGTGTTTCATTTTAATATCTCACATGAAGGCCGAATTACATGCAAAATTCTTGACATAATGTTACAACCGAGATGAGGGAAAAAAGGTTTGTGAAATGTAGATTATTACAAAAGAGATTACATTTTATTGTAAGTCCAAACAGTATAACAAAATGAACACTGAATATATATAATACACTTCCTAGCAGTTACTCGTATGTCAAACTTGTTTGTCTTTACTGGTGATGAAAACTCGTCACTCTGGAGGAGAGAGGAAGAGCAGAGAGGAAGAGCGGCTCAGTCCAGTCCAGGATCACTACAGTGTCAGGGTAGCTGCTTAAAGTCTGCAGGTAGATTTTTGCATATCTGGTCCTCTGGTTTTCAGATCCTAATTGTAAATATTTTTATTTAGTTAGTCAATGTTGTGATGATCCAGCTGACTGTGCTTGGATCCAAGGGAAAGGCAATTTAACAACAGGAAGGTCTCAAGGGGTTGATGGAGTGGAGTTGATGCGAGTTCCTCTCTGTCCTGGGTGAACATCATGGAGAGTCTCAATCATGGCTCAGAAACACATCAAGAAGCTTTATGACGCAAACCTGAAAAACAAAAATAAAATAAAAAAATACGAGCAAGTGATGATATTTACCTAGACAACATAATCAAAACCCAATAAGCCCTATAGTCTTTTAAGAGTTTTAATTGAAAATAAATTGACTATATCTCAGGAAATTAAATGTTCAAGTGAAACAGTTACTGTATCACAATAAAAAAAACTGCAAAAAAAATAGTGCAGAGGTATAACACTGAAATTACTGAGAGAGTAAACTGAAATATTAAGTAGAAAATGCATGTTAAAATCTGAAAACTTTTTTGAATGTAGCTGAAATCAATTTAAACTACTAGCAGACACAGTACAGTACACCAATTATATGTACTAAAAATAATGCAAAAAATGTAACATAGAACAGGTATTAGTTTTAAAACCAATAAATAGGATGAGGATGAAAAGGGGAGAAATAACCGAACGTTAACATAACAGGGAATAAAACAAATTTGGTAATTCGCTTTTTAATGTGTTCCAGATGCAAAAAAAAAAAAAAGCTGATATAAACTTGTTTATTTACTTCTGCCACGATGTTGGTGGTAATTTTTGTATTTTTATTACAATGTATCATTAACACATAAGCATGCATTATTTTTAAAACCACTAAATAAACTGACTTGGAGAAATATATTTAGCCAAACACACACGGCCCCTATAAGCAACACTTCCTTCCCTACCTGACCTTCTCTGACTCAACACTTGCTGGTCTCTCCATCCTCATGCTCTGATCGTCTCTAGCAGCTGGAGGAATCAGTAAGACCTACAAGCCTGTCCTGCTTCAGCTGCACTCTGCTGGTCATACTAGAATGGGGAGTTAGGAGAACATCAATTTAATTTAATATCATGACACAGCAAAAGGCATATTACATGTAATTCGGAATAAAACTAAGTACAGGACACACACACACCAAATAATAAAAAACAGAAATTATGTGAATATCCTCCTTCGGCCTGTGACCTACCAGCTTAGTTTTACATTTTACATCTGGAAGAAAATATATATTTAAGAGTTACGTTGCCTCCCCTCATCGACAACACTGATTATGTGCTTGGTAAATAAATCATCTGCACAGTCACTTGACGTGTGGTGCAGATTAATGTGGACCTGATAACATTGGTGCAACGATCCGCTGTTTTCCCATTTTAGCTTCAATGCTAGTTAATACACACACACACACACACTGAGGATTGCGCAACAGTTTTTTAACACATATTTCCTCCAGATATATTTGGTATTTTCCACGCTTAATGCCACTCGACAGATGTGCGCTGGTTAACGAATTCAACATAAAGACAGGCGAATATTACACAAGCCTAGTTTATGAACTTTACCTAGTGCTAACATTAGCTAGCACAATATGCTACCGGGGATCACGGCAGACAAAATATGTGACTGTCGTCATAAGTTGTGTAAGATTTCTTCTTTGAAACAGGGTGGACACTTTAGTGATTTTGTGAAGATTACTTACCATTCACATTCTGTGTCCCGTCACCGAAGCCCTGCAGTTCGGGACAGAGTTCTGAGATCTCAGGGAGTCATCCGCTTTAGTCAGCGCTAACCAATCGGAACACGTCTTACATCGCTCGTCCATACAAGCCCCGCCCAGAATGTTCATGTAAGATTCGCAAGCAAATAAAGTTGTGTTTCATCAAGAAAACTTGTTCTGTGGAGAGCCATTTCAGCCAAACTTAAATAAATAAATACTCAACCAAAAAAAAATAAAAGTTTCAAACAAAAATTAGTGATTTCAATTTAAAAAAAAAAGAAAAAACTCTAAAAAAAAATTCGTTTCGTAAAAAAATATTCTTATGATTAAAAAGCTTTTAAGATATTTTTTGTTTGATTTTTTTTCTTTTTTATTGAATACTACTATTTTTGTTTGACATGATTTTTTTTTTTTTATTGAATAATTGTGAAACAAATCTAACTCCAAAGAAGGCGATTTTACATAATACCCTCCTCCCTCTTTAATTATGACATGATCACAACGGTCATCATTTTCTGTCCACTGTAACTTTAAAGATCAACGTGACCGTGGTTGTACCGGTGGTACGCTTGTCACGTGATCTGACACGGAAGTATTGTGTGACGTTGACGTTAACCTGATCTCAGCAAGTCTGTCTCCAGGACGAATATTGAAACTCTGACACTTTTCTAAGCTGAAGATATCTGTGTGTTTCTACGGAGGCCGGGCGGCTGCTGGCGGAGGAAATGAGACCAGAAGAAGAGTTCCAGAGATAGGACAAAGTGTAAGCTAACGACGCTAAGCTGCACCAGACCGGACAGGGAGCTGAAAGGTCCCAGCTGAGTGGACTGTGTGCGGTCAGTGTTGCTCAGATATTCAGTAACATGATACTACCCACAGTGAGTTCTCTGTGCTGTGTCCAGGTGTCGGTGTGAGATGCTGTTGTCCTGTCTGTCCTCCCCCACCAGCTCCTGTTAGCCTGAGCTGGGATCATGCCAGTCTTGGCCATGGCAGAGCCTGCGATGGATCATCAGAGGCGCTTTCAGGCTGCCGTTGATGTCATCCACAAACTTCCCAAAAACGGTACGGCTTCCCCTCTCACTCCCGTCCTGGTGTTTTAGTTTCAATAGTGCAATCTTATCAGGTAATACAGTTCTGAATCGATAATTTGTAATTATAAAACACGAGTTGAATATAGTAACAATTTCCAAACTTGGGGAGAGAAAAAAAGCACATTTTTAGGTTGAGCATAACACCAGAAATCAAACTAAATGGAAATGATGGTAAGAATATCCATGGTATGGCATTACATGGCCCGAATTGTGAAATTGGAATGTTTGAGCCTGCCAATATTATTTGATTGGCTGGATTATAGTTTTCTGTATATGCAATGTTTCCCCCCAGAAAACTTGCTAAGCCCGGTGGTTGGGTGCTAGTGCAGTCATTCATCCGGCAGCCCACCATGTTTTTGAATTAAAAAATGTTTAAAGTTGACAGGAAATTTGAAAATATCACTTGATAATTATGTGTTATTGGAAGAGTGGAAGATTAATACCTGAACACCAACTATAAAATCTTTAAAAGCAAAGGTAAACATTATAAAAAGACTTAAATAAATAAGCAGTGCTTAGCCTGGTGGGGTCACAAGTAAAGCCTGGTGGCCCGCCAGGCTTATAATACACCGAAGGAATAGGAACTATCACATTGGAAGAATTACTGCTGTGTAAATGAACTGAATTAAAATTGTTACTTCAGATGGTGAATTAATTAAACAATGAAAATAAATTTTAATTGTTTTCCTTTATGCATTTCCATTATGTTATTGTATATGATGAATCTGTTGATCTGCAGGTTCTTACAGACCTTCTTATGAGGTGATGCTGCGTTTCTACAGTCTGTACAAGCAGGCAGTGTGTGGACCGTGTACAGTGCCTCGGCCTGGCTTCTGGGACCCAGTGGGTCGCTACAAGTGGTCAGTGTGCCGTTTTATCCAGAATATTTAGGTAAATTCCATTAGCATCTCTGGTGTTTGAATTAAATCAAGGAACAATACCAAACGACTACTTGGTCCATTACATGGTAGGATACATGACTTATCCTATCTTATCTTATCTTATCTTATCTTATCTTATCTTATCATACATGCACATAAATTCTTGCTCATAATTATCGATGCATTGCTTGGAGGTGGCAGCTTTTCAACAGACGACTTCTCCTGGGTCCTTCAGGTTCATCAACGCCAGTTCACCCAACAGAATTTGTCCAATATTTCGGCTGTGGGATTCTGGTAATGAAGAGTTCAGCACCAGTGTTTTTTAAACACTTGCTCCTGTGGGCTTATTTCAGGGATGCGTGGAGCCGCCTGGGGGAGATGAGTCAGGAGACCGCCATGGCAGCATATGTGGAAGAGATGAAGAAAGTGGCACGAGAGGTACAGTCAGCATTTTTTCCATGTCAGGTTCCACAGATCTCTGCTGTAATTTCCTGTCCACCTCTCTGAAGCTGGTCCTTTTCTAGAGTTACGTTGCTGGACGCTTTTTCTATGATGTTCTATCAGCTGTTAGTGATGACGCATGTTGATGCCTTTGATAGACTCTCTTGTCCTTTTAAACAAAATTCCTCCAGATTCCATCCTACTGATATTTCACACTATTTTCTAAAAAGAAACAAATGTTCACATTTTCTTTCATTCTTTTTATAGTTGCTGTCAATTTTGACACAACCATTGTGAATTTGTTCTATTTGTTTTGAAATGGATGACTTGATGTGTTTTGAGGAGAGCAGGAGTCCCTGAGCTGAGTGTGTCCTGGATGTGTGCAGGTCATCCACACCATGCCCATGGATGAGAGAACAGCGTCGTTCTTCCACCACTTCGAGCCTCTCTACAGGGTCATTGATGACATGCCACTGCCTCCAGCTTCACTGCTCACACTCGTTGAAGGTGGTTGGTATACACTTCATCAGCTGGGGTGTGGGCTTAGAGAAGAATTTTGATGGGATGCTTATCTTCTAGACCTGAAGGCACCACAGGAGCATGAATTCTCTCTAATGAACAGTTGGTTTTATGTACTAGCTGTATCTCTAATGTGTTAGAGATGAATAGACATGATTGGAACAATAAGGTGACTGATCCTAGCTCTCTGACATGTATACTGTCAGTGAAAAGTCTGAGAACTCTAGCCAGCTGTGTATGACCACATATCTTCTGCCATTGTTTTCTAAATGTTTGCATCTCATTCAGGTCCTAAAGGCAGGCAGCAGGTTGACGGTTCAGCAGACGCGAAGCTTCAAGGTGAGAAGCAGGAGCCACCTCAGGAGTGTTTAGAGAACTCTGATCCAGAGCCGGAGCTAATCATGACTGACGAAGCCCACCTGTTTACCAACAGTATTCCTAAAGGTACAGCAGGACAAAGGCATGATGGGAAAGTCGTCTCCAGCTGTCATGTTTCTGTCTGTGTCCTTTTGGTGTTGAATTGATTGTCACACAAGCTTCCGAGTGAACAAATGTTAGATGTCCTTTAAAGACAGCTTGTGTTCTTGTGGAAACATCCTTGTTCACATTACGACATCATCAATAGAAGAAATGTTTCATCAAAAGTTGTCAGTTCAGCAAATCTCACATGAACAACACAGAACACGCGTTAACAAAAATTAAACCAAACCGTGGAAGCTAAACTCTGTTGGTAGTAGGACCATTTTACTGCTTTACACAGAAACCGCCATTATGTAGCCACAGCTCATATTTATTGTTTTGGTCTCTGCTTGATGCATTAATTTTTGATTTAACCACTAAGCATACGATGTAATGCTGACAAAAACCTTCATACAGATTAACATGTTGTCGTTATACCGTTGATCGCGGTTGTATTCAGATGATCATGAGGTCAGCATTTGTCTATCTTTGACATTTTCCCAGACTGTTAAGAGTTTTGTTAATAGAATAAACTTTATTCTGTGCTCTAAATGCTCTAGTAAAGCGTGTTTTAAGTAGATGTTCCTCACTGACAAATTTTAATTATTTTTTCTGATTATTTTAACCTCACCTTTAAGACTGCAGCATATTTGTTGAAGACTCCTGCTTAATACCGTTAAAATAAAATTAGTCCTTTCCACTGTCACCACATGATGGTCAGGAGGATTTGACTGAATTTATTTGATTATATATTTCTACATACACAACAGATCTATTTGTCTTTCAAGGTGCCTTGAAAGGACATTAGTTTATCTAAGTAAACTGAGTTGAACTGTTGCAGACTCTGGGACATCAGAGGGTTTGGTCTTGACCAGCGACTCAGAGAGTGAAATCTTCTGTGACTCTGTGGATTCAGTGGAACAACTGAGCAACATCAAGGTATGGTGGTACCATCATCACCTCCACAGCACAGCGAGACATGTCCTAACAATTAAAATCCACATAAAGATACAACATTCATGAAGTAAAATGTTCAAGTTTTCTATTTATCACAGATTCCAGTTGTCAAGTCAAACGGCTTTCACAACAGCAGCATTTACCCACAGTCCTCTCCTGGTCAGGGGACTCACCTGGAGGGAAGGCAGGTCGGCGCTGGTCAAGGCGGAGAAGGAGCAGAGGATGGGAAATGTGTGGGTCAGCCCCGGAGAGGTTGGCACAGCGGGCAGGAAGGTTCCTACCACGGCTGGAGAGGACGTAAGCTGTTATTGTTTGATAATACTTATCATTATCTGATTCATTTAAAAATGTTTTTCTATAAGAAAAAGAAAAGTTCTCCTAGAACTGTTCTTTTTCTACAGGCAGTTGTTGTTATGTTTGGGAAGCAGCTCCAAATGCTGCCGCTATCACCTACAGCCAGCCAGTGATTTCCAAATGTGTTTTCTCTCGGCTTGATTAAATGTTCCACAATGAGCAAATGGTTAATTTATCAGCATGTCATCTGCTTTGATCTTGTTTTGTATCACCATTAATTGAGTCTGGTTTGTTGACAACATTGTTTAATTTCCTTTATTTAACCAGATTGAAACCCTTTAGATCTCATTTGCAAGAAGAAGCTGGGCAGAAAATCTGCAGTAGGCATCAAAATGGACTTACGACAAATAAACCATTGAAATGATTTAAAATCCCACACCAATTCAGCTCGGCCCCTTATAGTTCTCTGGCACTGAGACCAGGACTCTGCGATGGACTCTCTGAAACATGGACTTTGTTGTCCGTCAGCCTCTTTGTGACTGACGTGGTGGTGTGCTGAGGGACCCACTTCAGCTTCAACTTCCCCTTCATGGTTGATGTCTTGAGATGTTGCTTCAATTTTTGTACAGGAGGTTATTTTATCATGTTGCCAAGTATTTTGTTACACACTCCAGTCTTTTCTGCTGGACTCCCCAAAACATGATTATCTAATGAGGTTGTTTGGGGCTCAGTTTACAAACCAGCAGTGTAGCTTAATGACAAGGTTATATTGTTGTGTCTGGTTGTTATATTAGCATTCATCTAACCTTGTATGATCCATAGGTGGTGTTCCACAGGGAAGCCCAAGCCGGATGGCCCCTGGTGGTGGTGGGGGGACAGGACGCGGAGGTGGGGACGGCTCGGAGGGTGGAGCAGAGAGGCTGCATGAGACACACCTGCAGCAACAGATAATCCTGGCTCTACGGAGGCTCAGAGAGGACATGAGGAGTGTGATGGACAGACTGGAGGTGGTGGAGAGGCTTGCTGCCACCCATGTAAGTTTGTGTGCTTGACGCAGAATCATGTCTAAGGCTTCATTTCATTCCATTTCATGTTGCATGCTTTTTGACAAATGCTTCTTCAATGTTCTGAAGTGATTATTGCTGGTTTGTGTGTGACCCACTAAGGGCTCAGACTGGAGACCATGCCTGCAGTGTGCAGATGCAGCTTCACAGCAGGTGAGGAGCTAATGTTCTGATAGGAGATGTTGGATGGTACTGGTCCATAAAACCTAGTTTTGAAGGTTTGCTTTTGTCTTGATTTAACTGAGTCAGAAAGCCAGGTGAGCAGCTCTGCTGCCTGCAGAGAAACAAACTTAAAAATGCAAACAAATATGTTACAATCAATAAACACTCAGGTCAACATTTCAAATAAATTGATGAGTTTTATTAATGGTTGCTGCTAGCAATTATTATAGTTATTCATAGGCCACAAAAATCATCCAAAAAATTCATAGCTGCTCCTACTGGCACAACAAATGAAAATGTAAGTTCTGCTGAATATCATTCTGGTTTGTTAGCTGAATTTACAGTTGCTGCTGCTGCTGCTGCCTGTGTCAGATAGAAAACACTGTTTGGTGATCTGCAGTGATTTGTTGTTTTTGCTTTTCCCAGGAGGAGACATGGTGGCCATTTGATGTGTCGTGTCAGACAGTTCTGCTGTTCATGCTGTGGCCGTTTGTTACACAAGGTCTGGTCTACCTGCTCAGGAAGGCCCACCAGAGAAGTCGCACATCTTCATGAGGAGCACTGACTGCACCACTGGATGGACATGCTCCCCATGTTCACTGGTGGAGTGTGTTATTAAAGTTCCTGTCAATAACTCTAAGGAGGAAGTTCGACCTAAGCTAATCTACAGACTGCTTTAGTCCTGGTGTAACAGGTTGCTATCTTTAATTGAAGTCAATTAATTGGTTAGGAAAGTTTTAAATAAATAACTTTCCCATTATTATTCAGCATGATGAACAATTCTTTCGTGCCTCTGTACAAAGTTTGAGTGAGTGCAGACATGCATTTAGTTTTTTTTTTTCTATATTCAACCTTATTTACTGTCTAAACCTCACCTCAGAATGCTTAAAAAGAACAACTGTAATGATTTGAAACTAGAACCACATGGAAAATATTGTATTAAATGAGAGTTGCAACTGAGAGGGCCCAAACTGCTTTATCTCAGCGACAGAAGTGCAAAAAGGAGAATTTGAAGATTATCAGGTCTGTATTCACGTAACCTGTTTATTTACTGTCTAAACAGCTTCCATGTTTTTGTGCCGAACAGTGTCAGAGATTCTCAGGGCTTCTGGCACCTCCCAGTAGAGATACATTACCCCGCAGACCTTGCCTCCAGAGATATCAAGGCAGAGCCTTTTCTAGATGACACTACAAAGCTATGTAGTGTCATCTAGTGGTCCTGCAGTCCTTACACAGCCAGAGACAGATTGGCCTGGAAACCCAGAGAACATGTAGAAAGTTCCACGTGAAAACCCTGAAGTCAAAGTGTCTGCTTCTGTTTCTGTTTTGCCTGCACAAGATGATCATCCTTTGGCTCTTTCATCGTGGTTCATCCTGGACTCATCAGGGTGATGGGTTGGATTTGTGATTCAAAACATTGCTCTTGCATCACCACAGAAAGAAGACACATTTCCAGTCTGGATCTGAAACAACGCAGTCTGAAGGTGCTCATCAAAGGGTTGAGCTCCCAACTGGCTTTCTTTCATTGGGAGAGATTGAGGATGCTGAGATGCAGATAATCAAGTTCTGTCAGAGGGAGAGATATGCTGAAGAAATCACCTGCCTCCAAAAGGGAGAGAATGTGAAATGAAGCCATCACATACACAACTTAAATCCTGTTCTGATGGATGATGTGTCTCAGCAGGGCTGTCATGTCTGAAGATTCTAAACATCCTATCATTGTTGCTAAAGATCTTTACTTTGCTGGTGTTATTCTTCAATACGTCCAAAGCTGCATCAGAAATATTGGATTCCTGGTGTTGATGCATTGATTAGTGATGGGTAGATGAGGCGTCATGTATCGTTTTGACCCAAAGCAAAACTGTGCCGATTCTGTATCGATACTGTGTCACTGAACACTGACACCTGCTGGACATTAAAAATTCCTACAAGCAACGAAGTGATTTGATGACCTAGTAGTCTATGCAATAAGATTTAAATCTTTGTATTTTATTGAATATTATATATTGTATATGTCATATCTTCAGTTAAATTTAAAATATATTTGACATACAGTTAAAAAATGTGAACATGTAGCTACCATAAAGTGAAAATTTAAGTGAATGTGTTTGGAATGAGGATACTTGTGGACTGTTTTTTTTTTCCACAGACTTTTA